GGTTGGCACAGGATAGAGCAGGGTTTAGGGCTGTTGTGCATAGGGTCGCTATGAGTCGCAAACGACTCGACGGCACATAACAACAACAACAACAACAGAAAATGCAGAAGGCTGACTCTTAAGTGGAAGATCATCTAAGAAATGCAGGATAGGTATTGAAGAAAACTGCAGCCAATGAGGTTGATGAGGTGAAAATAACCCACCAAAGGCTCTGGTTCAAGTGGTGGGATCACTCAACTTCTGTGGGGGAGACCTGTGTTTCATTCCTGACCAGTCACCTCAAGTGTAGCTACCACTTATTTGTTACTGGAGAACTCTATATGTTGATGATGCTGAACACATTTCAGCGAAGTTTCCAGACTACGCCACGCTAGAAGGGAGGCATGGAAATCCATACAGACACCTGCCGTGGAAACTGAATCACAGCAGGCTGATCCGCAACCAATGATGAGGATGGTGGAAGACCAGGTAGGATTTTATTCTGTTGTCAGGGATTATCATGCATTGGGGGTTTGATAGCAACTAACAAAGGAAGCTAAAGATGCCCCAGGAGCTGAGAATGTGGAGGAGCAGATAGAGTACTTTAAAACAAGGATCAGTGTCTCTGATCCCAAAGGCCACCTCTGTGGCCTAGCTTGGGGGCATGCAGGTGCTGCCGGCACCACTGTCCCTACCCGTGCAGCAGCCATACTTTCTGAGCAGAGTTCACAGGCTGGCCATTATGCTGACCTGTCACATATTTCATCCCTCCTGCACAGAGGCAAAGAGAACCTGGGGAAACTGGCCCAAAGTCACACCAGGGTACACTTTGGACTTTTACTAAACCAGTGCTTTTGCTTTGGCCAATGGAGGATTTCAGGGATGAAATCCCTGGAGATGCAGGGAGATGCAGCTGAATCTAACCAACAGCTTGGCTCTGGAGCCCAGAGTTTTAAGTCTTGGTTCTGAGCTATGTTGCTGCAGTCAAGCAGCTCCACATTTTGGAACTTCAGAGAAGCTCATTTGTGTAATCTACCAACAGATCACATAGCTGTCAGAAGCCTAAACGTGATACTAAGTGCTGCAATGACCCTGGGACTGCACATGGAGGCTACTATTAGCATCACTGTTGCCTGAAATGGATCACATTCATAGCAGCACAGTGAGTGGGCCTGGGAGGCCACAAGCGAGGGAAAATATCTCCCTCAGTCACCTGGGTGCAGCCAGAGCTATTAGATGCCTGGGGTAGAAGGGAGTGTTGCCTTTCTTTGTAACTCCAAGTGTGGTGCCCAGACCAGGCAGCAACAGCATCATCTGGCATCTGGTTAGAAATGCAGACTCGGGGAGCTCTGGTGGCCTAGTGGCAGGGAGCTGCAACTGCAATCCCAGAGGCGCACGGTTCGGATCCACCAGATGCTCTGCCGGGAAAAGGAGGGACAGTCTCCTCCTGTACCAGTCAGATCTGATTTGACGGTACACTCACACAAAAATAAAAAAAATAAATTTAAAAAAAAAAAAAAGAAATGCAGACTCAAGTCCTCAACTCCAGACATATGGAACCAGGACCTGACTATTAACCAGAGCCCAGCTGACATGCACCGCCAGGCTGTAGACCTGGAATCTTCTGTGTCCTTAATCTCAGTAAGAGGTGTTTCATGGAAGTGTGAGTGATTTCTGTACAGGAAGTTGTTCAGACTGTGCCTTGTTCTAATTCCTAGCCTTATGTGATCTTTAACTTCTGTGAACCTCAGGACCCTCAGGCCATACATAAGTAATGCACCCTATTCTCAGAGCCAAAATAAACAGCAACTACACGACTGTCCTCAAGGCGTTCTAGAACAGGTGTCCAGCACTGTGCAAAGAGAGACCATACAGCTTGATAGTGTACTGACTTCTGGAGTGATCTCAAGCCCTCACCCAGTTATAGCAGAACTACCGATGGACTAACCATGAGGCATAACACAGCTTCTGCCAGTACCTGTTACTATGCTGTAGCCCAGCTCTATCAGGGCCTGAGACAGGGCTCTGCAGTTGGCTACCACTTGATGCTGATAAGCTCGAAATTCTGGAGTCATGGCTTGCTTCAGGGCCACAGCAACCCCTGGGTGGGTGGAAAGAACGTGTCAGGAAAGCAGGATGGGAACAACAAGGGGGGGGGGGAAATCTCATTTCTATGAATTAACTCCATTTCTAATGTCATCAAAGTGGAATGGTTTACAATTGCTCATAAAATGGTAATTTTTCTAGTCTAACCATTAACCTGGACAAACTTTTAGCTCAATTAGTGAAGTTTCCTGTCTGGAGAATTGACTTTTCTACCCTTAATCATGGCAGTGAAAGAAAAATAATTAAAAAAAAAACCCACCTGGCTTCTTAGCTCTTTTTTAAGCATTCAGTTAGTGACACTATTTATATTTACCATAGTGTACAACCATCACAACTATACATGTCCAAAATTTCTTCATCACACCAAACAGAAACTCAGAGCTCCATTCTCTCACACCCCAGCCTTTGTCCCAAAACATTTGTTCCTTCTGGATACTTTCTAAGTAGAATCATTTACCATTAGTCCTTTTCTGTCAGACTTCTCCCTCCCAACATACTGGTTAGGGCACAAATTAACACTTCAGTTTTTTTAAATGGCTGAGTAGTACTTGACTGTACATTATGCATCACATTTTTATTAATCTGTTGATGGACACCTGAGTTGTATAAACCTTTTGGAAACTCTGCTAGAGTGAACATTGGTGAAAAGGAACTGTTTTGAGAGGTAACTTTTTTCCCCAAGCATGAAAGTTTACTATTAATAGGATTATTGCAGATAAAACTGTATGAGTGCAAGAATTTTTTAAAAATCTTTTTCTGCCTGATGCAACAAATGGATTGCTTAGCTTAGCAAAAAGCAGCTTTTTATACCAAATTATGTTGCTGTCTCAGAGCTCATAGCAGTATAGTCCTGCTCTGTTGTGCACCATTCAGACCACTATTAGATTTTTATAGTCAATTTGGAGAACTGCGTAGGAGGTAGAAAATCTGGAGGATAATGAAAAAGGTATGTCTACAGCCTATTTCAGATGCTGATCCTTAATGTGCACCTGTACATGCTACCCAAAAGGTTGAGAAAAATGATGTGTATGCTCCCAGAGACCTCTCTGCCTTTAAACACAAGTTCTTTCCTGGAAAAAGTCACACATCTGTCACTAGTCCTCAGATTAATATATATCATCACTTTCTCCCAAAGATGACATGGGATAATTCCAATATGATCAAAGTACTTTTTGTTACATCTATTTCCCTGCCAGTGAGAGTCAGATCATCGAGTCAGTGATGCCAGGTAACAACTGTCGGGAAGAGTCACCTTTCTTCCAGCACTGCTGGCTGAGGGTGTACATTTACTCACATCTCTCTCAGTGTTGTCTTCTTAATGTCATGTTCCTTCCACATACTTTGAAGGCTCCTGCCTTGAACCACAACCTTACCTAGCGGTGGTCTCATGTGAAGAATGATCAGCATCTTCCTCTGTCCCTACTTTCAATCAATCACTCTGTCCCTCTTCTTTCCTGCTCACAGTTCCTTGGTGGATAAACTATTTTGATGGAAGGTGAGACTGGGATTAAGGGGCACAGAATAATATGGGGTCAAGAGAGCCACCAGGTAGCATGTGTTCCTAGAGGACAAGGGCTCAGACGGCCTTGCCATGTATTACCAGCAATGGCGTGGTTGTGGGGTCCTCCTTGGAGGCCTGGGAAGACAGCAGCATTGATGAGTGACTCCAGCTTGTACAAAATCTCTTTGCCTGTCTTGGGATCCATACTGCGGACACCTGGGTAAGGAAAAATATCAATGGATCTAACTCACAATCCTCTGTCCTGCCTTCCTTGGACCCAGGCTGGTTTCTAAAAAGGTAAAGACATGGCTAACCTCCTGTCCCTGTGGGCAGAAGAACCAGTTCCCAATGGCACAAAGAGGCCTCCTTCCTGACCAGTGTCCCTGCTCGTGGCAATGAGATCATACAGTTGACCCTGACAGGATAGCTAATGTTTGCATATGTGACACTCTTGTGTTTCCTGAGAACATTTCTTCTAAATAACACACAACTGTTCTTTTAGAAAATTAAACTGAAGCTTTAGAAAAAAAGAGTATAAAAATGAGGGGAGCTCTGGTGGCCTAGTGGCAAGAAGCTGCACTGCAATCCCAGAGGAACACGGTTCGAATCCACCAGATGCTGTGCCGGAGAAGGAGGTGCAATATCCTCCTGTACCAGTCAGATCTGATTTGACGGTACACGCACACAAAATTAAAAAAAAAAAGTATAAAAATGAAAGAACTTTTTTTCCAAAGAGAAAGAACTGGTGGGGTGGATAGGGAGGAAAATGTGCAACAATGAATGGAAATTGAAGTTCTATATAAACTTTTGTTAAATTCTCAAAATAAAGAATTTTTAAAAAGTTAAAAGAGCAAACATGCTCTTCACTGAGACTGGACAAAAACTATACCTTGGGTGTAGTTTCAAGAGTATAAAATGTCCACCTTCCAAGATGATGGACAGTTTTCCAAGGGACACTCTTAAGGCTGATAAGGGGAATAAGGTCCTTTCCCTGAAAAAATTAATACCATGAAAAAATAAACTACCACCAACATCTACTAGCATTCCTTGTGAGATAGAAATTGCTCTAAGCACTTTACAGCAACAACTGAAAGGTACTATCATTAAGATCTTCTCCATCTGGAGCTAAAATGAGGTATGTAGAGGACATAGCACAGCCTGAGGCCATTGGACACGCAGGGTCTAACCAGGAATAGCTTGGAAAGTCTGGCTTCACATAGGTCTGATAATGACATCCACATTAATATCAGAAGAGTAATGTGGCAAGAATAACCTGTTTTCAAAATGGATCATCAGAGGGATGGTAGGAGACAGAAGGACCCCCAAACGAAAAGCAAACAGGAGGGATTGGGGGCTGGGCAAAGAGATAAGAGTGATCTATCACTGCAGGCTGGCCTCTCTTCTTAATTAATGTGCGCAGAAAACTACCCCATGAGCTGAAAAAGATCCTGACCACCAGCCCTGCTTTTCAAAGGGGAGATTCCTCAAGTGAAAGCCACAACTAAAACAAATTCTTCATTAAAATTACTACAGTGGAATTCTAGTTTATACATTAGTGTCTTATAGTTTGATTATTATGAGTCTCTTAAAAAAGAGAAATATGCTGAAGTTCAAGACAGTGGCTGCACAGTGGGCACTGGGTGAGGGCGTCTCATTGAGCATTTACTCTATTCAAGCATCATTTCCCCCCCCCCTTTTTTCTTTTGTCTTTGCCAACATTTTATTCTGAAAGCCATGTGAAAGGAGATCCACCATGCAGTGGGCATAGATTCCAAATCCACATTTCTCCAGTCACCAGCATTCATCTCTGTCAAGATAAAAAGTTGCTTGCTTTGGTAATTCCTGGTTTTTGCTCCATGAAGAAGAGCTCTTTTCCCATGAGCCATCTTCATTTTTTTGGTAGAGCTTTATTTTCAGGAAACAGTACATTAGTTAGCTATGGGTGGTTTTTTAAAGACCTCAAGGTGGATCTAATGCATTCCACAAAGTGAGGGGTCTCACCTAGAGTGATGAAGTGGAAAGGTTCTCTAGTATTTTTTATCATCTTGCTACATCCAGAAATCCACATGTGGAAAAGGAAAGGCATCCAGGAGTGTGGTCCTATGCTAAGCGACTGTCTACATCATAAATGCTAATCATTGGTCCTCCCGTCTGAGCTCAGGCAGCACGCAGCTTCTCCTTTAGCCTTCAGTCTTGGAAGGAGGCTCTGTAAATCTCTGCAGGTTTTATGTTGAAGGCAAGGTCATGAATTATTGGAAAATGGCTTTCATTTTCTTCCCAGTCATTTAATTCTGTCACACATAATGTCACTAGGTGGGTCTCATTATCTTGTCTATCAAGTTCTCTGAGAAGTTGCTGAAGGTGTTTCTGTGACAAATGCTGGTCATCACTGAAGCTCCCACAAGGTACACTTCCAGCCTGTTGTACTTCGTGGTCTTGGGAAAGGATTTTATGGGGGTGATGATCAAGAGGACCTGGGCTTTGGTGTCACCCCATTACCTGTGTGCCTCAGGACCACAATGTGACTAGTGGTGGCATCATCAAAACCCAGCATGGAGATGGAACATCCTTTGGGGAGGTCATTGCAAACTCTTTGCTGAACATACAGAATACCCTGAGGTCCCACTTGTTGAACAAACGAAAGAACAAACTCTGAAAGTCTGGCTCTTTCCTCCAGAGTTGAATGGGCACAGGTGAGGTCCCCGACAGGCTGGGCAGCCATCCCTCAACCAGCAGCGGCATCACAGAGGCAGAGGCTTCCCCAGCCTGGGCTGTCCACCACCCCTCATCTGCCTTTTCAGGTGGTTGTTGTTAAGTGCCGTCGAGTCACAGGTGACTCATAGCGACCCTATGAAGGAGTCCTCGACGCTTGGGTGCCTTTCATCCTCTCTCCAGGTTCATAGGGTTTCCGGAGGCAAGCTATTACAGAAGTGGATGCCATTCCTCCTTCCAATAGAGGTACACTTGACAAAGGCCAAAGCTATCGCTGTCACCCAGAAGACTATAGATAACCCCTCTGGAAAGCTGTGGCATGATGGTCATGGAGCTGCCCAGATAATCATCCTTGCATTTACTGTTGCTGCCAAGGCTATGGACAAGGTCATCCCTGAGCTGAATGGGAAACTTATTTGCAAGGCTTTCTATGTCCCAGCCCTCAATGTGTCAGTCATGGATCTGACCTGCTGTCTGCAGAAAGGTGGTAAATATGATGACATCAAGAAAGTGGTAAAGCAGATACCAGAAGGGCCTCTCAATGGCCTTCTGGGATACACTGAAGACCATGTTGCCTGTGACTTTAACAGTGACACCCACTCTTCTACCTTTGATGCTGTAGTTGACACTGCCCTGAATGACCACTCTGTCAAATTCATTTTGCTGTAACAATTAATTTGGCTACAGCAACCAGGTGGTCGACCTGAGGGTTCACATGGCCTCCAAAGAATAAGAACCCCTTGGAACACCAGCCCCAGCAATAGCACTAGGAAAGAGACCCTCAGCTTCTGAGGAGTTCTTGCCCCAACTCGATCCCCCACACACAATGAGAATCTCACATCCTGGACACAGTTTCCATGCAGTCCCCCTAAGAAAAGGGAGGGATTTAGAGACTAAGCTATCTTGACATGTAACCTCAATAAAGTACACTGTACTTAGAAGGGGGGGAAAGCAACTGTCATGTTTTATCATTCATCACAAATACTTGTATCTACTTTTTAACACTAAAAAGTTAAGACTACAAAAAAGTACTAACACTGATAGTTGACTAGTTCTTATAAAACAGCCATCTCCTAGAGGGAAACAATATGCTTAGACTATACATGGCAGAAAGTAGTTAACAATGAAAGGTAACCAGCATGTTAACAGGTGCCATTGAATAAACTATCACGTAGAGCAATCCTGTGAACAGAAGATCTGAACCTTGTCCTATCCTATGCCATCCTCACCATCTCTGATATGCTCAAGTCCATTGTTACAGTCACTCATCATTCTGTTTTGTTAAGGCTCTTCCTCTTGTGCTTACCTTTCCTCCTTCCCAGAATGATGTCTTTTACATGGATTGGCCCATCCTGACAACAGGCCCAATGTATATGAGATGAAGCTTTACATCCTTGCTTCTAAGGAGCAACCCAATTGCACTTCTTCCAAGACTGTTCTTTGTTCTTTTTGCAGGCCATGGGATATCAGTCCTATCTCCCAATTCCACACTTCAAAGGCATTAATTCTTTCTTATTCTTGCCCAACTTTCAGATACACAGGAAGCAACTGAAAATATCATGGCTTAGATCAGGAGCACCTGGATCTTTAAATAGACTTTAGTTCTTTCACATTTTGGAGAGTTCCTTGAAAGCAGATTTTCCCACTGCAACACTTGATTTCTTGACTGCTTTTACCATGGATGTTAATAATGGATCTAATAAAAAAGAAATAATTGATGTCAACCTTTTCTTCATCTATTATGATTTGGTCTATTAGTCCAGTGGTATGTTTTGTTTTTCTTGATGTTGAGATGTAACCTATATTGAAGTCTTCAATATTCTGAAGTTGTTGCTGTTGTTGACTGCATTCGAGTTGAGCACGACTCATGACCTTATGAACAAAAGGCCTGAAGAACCTCTACAACTATCGACATTTATCAAAGTTCATAGAGTTTCCGGAGCATGTTGTTTAGGAAGTGGATGCCAAACCTGTGATAGTATGTTTTTGTTGTTATGTGCCATTGAATTGCCTGCAATGTATAGTGACCCTGTGTACAGCATCTCTGAACCCTTCGCTGTCCTGAGCCAGTCTCACTAATTCCTTCACACCAACCCCCATTGCCCCAGTTACTGTATCAATCCATCTCATCTGGGGTCTTCCTCTCCTGCTCTGTCCAAACACCCTTCCAAGCATGATGTCCTTCTCCAAGGACCAATCTCTCCAGCCACGTGCCCAAAGTAAGTGAGGAGAAGCTTCAAAATCCAAGCCTTCAAGGAGAGATTGGTTTCATCCTCTCCAAGTCAGACCTGTTTGCCTATCTGTTTTCTTGGCAGTCCATGGTATATTCAATACTCTTTTCCAGCACCACAACTCAAAGGCATCTATTCTTTTGTCATTCTTAGTCCTTGTCCAACTTTCTGAAGAATAACAAGTAATTGAGAAGACCATGGCCTGGATTAGGTGCACCTTTGCATCTAGACTGACATCGTTGCTCTTCAGCACTCTGGAGAGGTCTAAGACAG